TTAGGGACGGCTAGCGCAGATAGCCCTCGTGTAGCTTTGTGCGGAATTCAAAAACAAACAATATACTAGTGGTGTGTGTCTCGTGGGTTCTAGAGCGATCAATAAGGCTCTCACGTCGTGATTGGTCTAGAGAAATATATAGCCAGTAGTTGTCAACATTTTAAGTATAACAAAATGTGGCTCGATTTCAACGAAAATGATTCTTTTATGTAAAAGTACATATGAAATTTTGTTGGGAAACTGTACGTGATGGAGAAAAATGGATGTCATTTTCGGATTCAGCGTACAGGAATTACTGTAGAAGATGTAAAAATTTCAAGACAATAAAACCATCACAGACCTGTGTAATGTATAACTTGTATGGGTAAATAATAGTTGTTTAATTATTATTTATTGTTATTTATCGTTTAGTTCTTAAACTTTTAGCTCTTAAAACTAGCATATATTTTTTATTTTCTGTTATTTTTTGGTGTTTATTAGGTTCAGTCTACAAGTTTAGGATAATTCTATTTCATATTTTCTCAGCAATAAAACTGATAATGCAAGACAAAACTCAAATATAATGTGGCGGTGTTGTGCTAGCAGTTTTAAATGTGAAGGCGCTAAAGATTTGAGAAGTAGAGGACTAACACTTACTTTACCGGTTGGTTGTACGTGTATGTATTAAATGTTGGAGGTAGTATAAATTTTGAGAAATAATGCATTATTGATATTAGTTACTTTTGTCTGAGTAGCCTTTTATCATTGAATAATAATAATATAAATTTTAAGTTGATATAGACGTGTATTCATATATAAATATCTTGTATTTTACTAATACTATAGCACAGGTTTTTCGTAAGTTTCGGGATTCCTTTAAGTTTAACGATTTAAAATTTAGAAAAGGCTGTAAAATTTTAGTTAATTGCGATACTGAATATTTTTATCCACACTAGTCCATATGATTATGTACCTTGAGCACAACGTGGATAAATATAGAAATCCTAGAACTTGGAACTAAATAGAAGAAAAATGTTTAACTGTAGTTTTACTTTTTTTTTACATTTTATTTTTTAGATATAGAATATAGTACAGGGTGGTCGAAAATTATCTTTCATATTTTAGAATTTAATAATCAAATAACTAAAGACATAGAACTGTTCAGTTTTCAACATCTTTCAGCCCATTCAAACAGTTTTTATCGACATATCAGTATTAGTGGCTCTCAGTATCTCTAGACTCTAATCAATATTTGATTTCAGCCCACGTTTGCTGCAAGTTTCAACATGTTCACAGTTACACTTACAGTAGCAATGGCATTTGTTAGCTTGGACTTTAGCTCTATGATGTTTGCTATTGGTGTGCAATACACAATGCCCTTAAGTTAACATACTCCAAAGAAACAAGTCTAGTACTAGTAGAGTGATGTCTGGTAAACTTGGAGGCCATGAAGTTGGCCTACCCTGCAATCCAAGTAATGCATTGAACCTTTTCTTGCACGATTGCTATTTTATGGGTTAATTCTACTTACTGGAGTGAAAAACAACAACATGAAGATAAAAGCTCTTTAAGTTGGACTACAAGATGTTGAAAGCTGCATGATTACATTTCTTTAGTTATTTGATTATTAAATTCTAAAATACAAAGACAATTTGGAACCACAGTGTATTATAATAGTAGTATAATGATAGAGATTAGAAATTTAGAGTACCAAATTTTAGTGAATGCTTTTTAACATGCTATATTAATTTTTTTTAATGTTATTCTAAATGTAATTATTCATGAAATGTTAATATAGTTAAAGTTAAATTTTTGAATGTAGACTTATGGTAGTCAGGTCTACTGATATTTAACAGAAAAGCCAAAAATTCCTACAAAATGCAGGCTTAGGGCTATTAAGGAAACAATAAATTGAACACTGACAGTAGATGAAACAAGCAAATGCTAGTGCAGTTATAAACATAAGATTCTATTTGACAAAAGAAATGAGTAAAAACCAGACCAGCATATTATTGCCTGGAAGGGGCATAGAAATGCCACATGTCATATGTCATTCAATTATTCCACCTCTCTCTTACAATAATTAGAGAAAATTATTTCTTAATTCTAAATCTATTATAGTTCTCTGTAAGTTAAAAAAAAAAAAACTGAGCCAGGATACATTTGCCTGGATGAGGCAGTTCATTTACTGAATGACATGTCTTTTTGATTACTCCAGTTCTTCCCTACGAAAAGCATAAAATCTTATAGCTACATTTATTATAGTTCCTGTAAAATCTGGAACAGTTCAGAAAAGTATACTAATAAAGTAAATATATACCAAATGAAGTGAACATAATTATAGACATTTGAACATAACATTTTAGGGGTGGGATCTGGCTCATAACATGCTATTATTAACCTTTTACATCATCACTGAAAGGAATTTATTAAATACTCAAACATATTCTGACAGTAGTGAAGAATAAATATAATAGTGAGTTAAATATCTAAGAGAAAAAGAGGCTGGAGATAATCTGATGTTGCAAGATACAAGAGCTTGGTTTAAGTGAACAAACTATTAATAAATGAAAAGCTATTGTACTTTTTTTTTTATGGTTGGCATGTATGTGATATTACAGACAAACAAAGATTGGGAAATATTTCTTTTTGGTTATTGTAGGGGAGAACAGTAGTAATGAAATGGACAAATATATGCTGGTTTGGAGAGTTTTTGTTATTATGTAAACATTGAAGTAGTTTTGGTAGTTCTTTAATATCATTCAATTATGCCAATTCTCTACTGTGATAATCACAAACAATAACCCGCATAATTGAATGATATTAGAGAACTGGCATAATTGAATGATATTATATGCAGCATTTAGTCCTACTCAAGTGCCCTGTTTGGGTAAAAATATGCTGGTCCAGATTTTGTTTATATTACAGAAACATAAAAATAGATTTGGAGAAGATTCTATTTTATTATTATAGGGAAAGATTTAAGTAATTGAAGAACATGTTATTTAGTGTTAATCAACTATTTTATCCAGGTAAATATATGCTGGTCTAGAGGTTTTTTTTTATATGACTGAAAAACTATAACAGATTTGGCAGTAGTTTTCCCTGATTACTGTAAAAGAAGAGTTGGAGCAACAGGTGGCATTTAGTGCTATTTAAGTTCTCTGTCGTAAAATGATGCTCGAGCTTTTACTCATTTCTCTTTGACAAACACTATTGTGTTACCTAAACTGGCTGGGCTTCTCTAAGCTATTTAGCTGTTGGAGTCGATGAGTGAAATCAAGATTTGGGAGCAAGAGATGGAACGAGGAGATAGAACTCTGAAAAATACCCAACTTAAATACCCTAGCAAATTGAAGAAAATCCAATATCCCACAAGTCCACAGGTTATATACTTTAACCAATGTTCTATACACAATTTTAAGCCAAGTCAGCAGTACAGGTTTCTGTATTGCATTTTTAACATACTACTTTCCAAGAAGTTGCACAGAAACACACATGCTAGCTTGAGACTGAAGAACAAAGGTTTCAGCATGTAACCTTTTCGTAAAAAGGATTAGCACATGTTTACAACCTTGAGACATCCAGTCAACTGGAAATTATTAAATGCAAGTAAATATAGGAAAATATGTGTGTATATATCTGAATTAAAAAAATATCTTCTATGTGAGTGATAGAGAGGGGGAGAGATTCATAATTATTTCAGTTGTTTCACATGTTCTATTTTCTAGATTATGTGAAGCAACAATTATTATAAAATGATAAAATGCTGAATCATCTTGGAACCCTCAATGGCTTGGCTATAAGTCTGAAGACTTGTAACACTAAAAATCAGGTAGCAGATAGCTCATTATGCAGCTTTATGACCAACAAAGAATCATCTTAGCTAATGCTACTTCTATTTCACAAGTCTTTATGTTGACATTAGCTTACTAGTACTTGGATACATAGAATAGTAGTATTTTAATTTAGTAACATACCTGTAATAATTTTTAATGCAATTGTTTGAAGAACTTTTTCCTTTTCATTCAAAAGAAAATGTAGTTAACCTATATATACCATTTATTCCATCTTGATCAGATACATAATACTTAATATATTCCATTTTGATTACCTTGCATGTTGTAATCTTGTGTGGTTAATATTTGAAATAAGAAAATTATATGGTGGTTTTTTTTAAAGTGGTTGTAACCATATTAGGATGTATTAAAAGTTCTATCATTATATTAATTAATCTGCATGCTTAAGGACAGTTAAACTTCAGATTACTTGTACACCCATCTTTTTATTTTATAATTTTGTTAACCAAAGAAAATCAATCTTAATATGTTGCAAAAATGTTTTCTATTAATTAATAATGGTTATGTTTCGATTTACAGTCCTAACATTAAATATTTAACCCTACATAATGCCCTGCTTAATTAAATCTTGTTTTACCCACACATGAAAATTGTTTGCCAATAAGTTAACACTTGCAGTAGTCATTCTTTATTGCCACTTGTTTGATGTTGTTGGTTTAGAGACTACTTTGTATGTCTCATTGTAATTACATGTTTTATTTAACAAAAAATAAATACTCATGAATATATATATATATATATATATATTTCATTTATTCAAAAAATAATCCTTAATTCAAACATTGGTGTAAAATGATGTTTGTCATTATTTTTTTTACCAATACTTGCTTACTATATCAATATAGTATTGAAAAAAAATGTTTCTGAAATACCATTTGCTTTTTAATTATGATTACATTAATCTATTTTGAATTTATTGATTATGGTATTAATTTATGGTGATATTGTTTAAAATTTTCTTTCTTAGATTTGAATTACCATCAAAACTAGAATTTTAAGCCTATCTAAAGCTTATTGAAAGATGTCTTCCAGTACCAGTGAAGACCTTAGTCCTGATAGGAAAGCCAATTTTAACCACTTGCAAAAAGAAGGGAAAGAATTAGCAAAGAATGGGAAAATACGAGAAGCTATCAAAGTTACACAACAGGCTTTAGAAATTTTCTTCTCTGAAAAGCTTGCAAAACGAATCGAGAAAATGGAAGTCAGTATTTTTTTAAACTGTTATTTTAGTCATATCCAAAATTTCTTGATTCTTAAAATAGTTACTAAATGTGAAAACTTTTGAAGTGCAAAAATACGTTTCTCTGTAATAGACTAATACAACTTAAAAGATTACTAGTCATTACTCACCAGTTAGGGTTTTAGCACAAGTATGAAAAGCAACCATTATGGCTTAAACTTAAATTCTGTAGTAAAGACAACAGTTTTTGATATTTAGTTAATTAAAAATGCAACCACTTATTGTAGATAAAAGAACATTATATTACACTTTTTAATGTATTATACTCTAAATTGTCACTTATTTGTCTAAAATCACATGTGATCAGTTAGTTCATAACATAACCTACAAACAGCAAGAGACTATTCAGTCCTTGAAAGCTGACCTTGCATACTCATTCATTGTAAAAGTACAAACTTAAACCCAACCTTCACTTTTCAGGAAATCATTGATTTCCCCTCTTACATCCCTGTAAAGTATCACCCTCCACTACTACCAATGGCAACTCCTTCCATAAATCAATTACCCTGTTAGAAAAATAAAATTGTTGTACCTGGAGCATAGTCTGTCTTTTCCAATTAAATTTGTATCCTATCAATCCCCGAGTAGTCTCGTAAACTTCAATATAATTGCTTCTTATTCTTTTTTCTTAAGAAAAAATAAGTTGACAAGATCTTAACTTATCCCTAAAAAAATAACCCTTCTGTTCCTAGAATTATCCTAGTAGCTCTACCCTGATCCCTTTCCAATGATTCAATATCCTTTCTAAGATAAAAAGACCAAAACTGTATGCATTATTCCAATTGAGGATTAATTATTGATTTGTATAGATAATTACCTCATTTGACTTGTCTACAAATATAACTTAACATTATTAGCTTTACTGCTTCAATGGTTTGAGTGATTTATCCACCACGATGTCAAGATCCTTTTCAGTCACGCTTTTGAATTGGTTGTTATTTGTATTAAACATGAGATCCAAATTATAACAACTGAAATGCATTATCTTGCTTTTACTATAATTAATTGTCATTTGCCAAATATTTGACTAACTTACTGATTTAATTGATTCAAGTCATTCTGTACTTCTTAAAAAAGCTATAATACAGCTAGAAATATCCAAGGGTTTAATGTCATCAGCAAACTTTAATAATTTGGTAATTATACCTCTATCAATTAGAGCTGGGGAATTAACTTGATTATTTGATGTAGTTGATTACCTATGAACATCAGTTACATTGATTACTGTTACATAAAATAATTGATTAATCAAAATTAGTGTTTCTGATCATTACTGTTTTCAATCAATCCAAGTAATTACCCTGATAGTTTTTCATTATTATTTTTAATGAATTCGTTTTTGATCAACTTAATCAATCAGTGTCATGATTCATGAAAATAATTACCTACTCAATTAGTGTTTCCAGTTATTACTATTTTCAATTATTCCAACTATCTAAGTCTTGTGAAAATTTATTAATTGGTTAAGTACAATCAATAAATGAGTCCAATGATTAATTGATTAGTATATTCCACTAATCACTCAGTTCTAGTCAGTGAGAGGTAGATAATATGACATCCAAATTTTTGTTTTCCCTTTTCATTGCTTCCTATCTGGCTAGACTTAGTCATAATTAAACAGAACATCTGTTCATATAAAGAGGTTAATGACTCAACACATTGTTACTATTCCATGTCTATTAATGTTTGATAAATACAGTTAAATGAACAAGTTATCAGCAATCAATTTTTTAGAATAATAATGAATATTAATTTCTGAAACTGTTCCCACTCCTAGGTAATACTGGTTACAGTTATAGCTAATTATATAGTAATATTTTGATTTCTGATAAAGTACAAAGCTGCAGATTTTTAGCCCCCCTCCCCCCACACACACAAACGTGAAAGTGGTGTTATGTTTATTTATTAATTTTACTATAACTATACTACTTTCAGAAATTTCTTCAAGAATATGGTGAAGTGGATGAAAGTGATGAAATGGTTGAAGTTGGTAAAGGTTTTTATCTGTATGGTGAACTCTGCAAAAAGTTATACCCTTATCAACGTGTAGGACTCCTCTGGTTATGGGAACTATATAAGAAGAGAAAAGGAGGAGTTCTTGGAGATGATATGGGGTAAGCATTGAAAGGGTTTTCTTTGATATGACAGGAAAAGGTATTTGGGGGGTGGATCTTAATGATCAGGGATAAGAATTGAGAGAAGGGTGGTAGGGCCTTGGGGAAGAAATGATTTAAATATTCAAAAGGAGGTTATTTGAGTTAAAAAAAAAAAAAGAATAAGAATTGAAAGCTAAGGGCTTATGAAAATGATTTGGGGTAAAACATTAACAGTGTGAATCTTTGGAAGCAACATTTGGAAGGGATAGACAATTCAAAACTTGTTGAGCTTAAAATTATGAGAGAAATTTTCTGAAAGAACATAAGGAAATCTAAAAAGAAGACGGAAGTAATTTTAGTGAGTGGGTAATAATCATGAGTTATTTTAATTTCCTAAGAAGTGAAAAATGGAGCTTGTGTGGGATTTCAACCTATGATACAGATACAGCAAGTCTGAACCTTTGGTTTATTGGAATGAGAAATTACAGATTTTTTTAAGCTACAGTAAAGTTGATACATATTTTATCTAGTACAATATTCTGAGGTAAGGCTTTAAAGTTTAAAATATTTAATGAGAGGAAGTTTGTTTTGTGGTTGTTTTTTAATTGAAATAAAAACAGCATGAAATTCAAACATGTAGATTTTATTGACAAAAAGGGGACATAGATAAACAATGTTTAGATTTTAATTTTAAACACCTGCTTATGGGAAGGATTGGAAGTATACATAACACTTGCATATCAATGTTTAATATAGTTTGAATATAAACTAAACACTACAAATATGTTCCTTTAGACTTGGTTACTACAAGTAGAACTTCATACTGTGAATGAAAGGGCATCTTTTACAATTGTCAGTGTTATCCATTGTATATCTATAGTGTTAAAGCTTTGAAAGAAACTTCCAAATATTGAATACTGAGTTTCTGTTCTCCAGATTAGGAAAGACAATCCAGATCATTGCCTTTTTATCTGGAATGTTTGATGCTCAGTACATTCGATCTGTTCTAATTGTCATGCCCGTATCATTGATTCAGACCTGGGAAAAGGAATTTGATAAATGGTAAGAAGGATTTAATTGTACTTCATAAAAGTACTCTAGGTGAATTTTACATCATGCTTAAAGTAACCTTTTAGAACTTGTTAGGCTAATTTAACACTAGATGTTATGTAATATTTTGCCACATCTACATAATATTTTCCTAACCTTTAAGTTAAAGTTGTCCTGCATCAAGTTATAAGGTCAAGAAATTAACTTTTGGTTTATTAACAATAACATGTTTATTAATTTATTTCTCAGGATTTTAATTTGATTCCCTACCATACATCTACCGTAATAAGATCAGATATGAATTGATATTTGTAGTGACAGTTCTTCAAGCTTGTCTTGGCCAAAAGGAAAGAAAGAAAAATGTGCTTTATATATTTATAGAACAAGCTAGTTAAATTTAAGCTCATTAGAAATTAAACCATATTTGTGGTTTGTCTATGACTATGTTTGATGTGTGAATATTTCAGGGCTCCTGGTATCCAAGTGTATGCATTTCATAGTTCCAGTAAAAAAGAGCGTGAACGTAACATGCTGAGAGTTCAAAAAAGAGGAGGAGTGCTCCTCACCAGCTATGGAATGCTGGTGACCAGCTGGGACCTCATGGCACGACTGGAAGGGCGTGAATTTGTATGGGTAAGTTACAAAATTAAGATACACATGTAAGTGTAGCTATTTTAGTATATTAACCGATATAGATAGGATTTTAACAATATATATCCATATTATGATTAAGACATGACTAATTGTCTGTATGGTTAAAGACTTGACTTAAACTGTTACTATTTTATAAAAATTTAGTTTTTGTGAGGATGTTAATTACAGTTATCCCTTGCCATTTGCAGGGGATAGGTTTTGGAAATTTCTGTGAATGCTAAAACCATAATTACCATTAGTAAAAGAGTATACATATAGGTTTCCAACACACAAAAATACAGTATGTACAGTAACCACATTCTATAAACACACTAAAATAACAAGAGAAATATAGTACAGTAATATAAAATAAATGTAGGATATGCAGTGTAGCACAATGCAAGCCTCACACTAGCTTTAGTGGACTGCGGCTGTACTGCGAATGGTAAAATTGCGAATGACAGGATAATTGTACCTTCAAATTTCTGCTTTTGAGTCAGAGGAATTGTCAAGATTGTTTTTGGAATCTATGTAAATCTGAGTAGAAAATTTGTCAAGGATTCTCAGTTTTGTAAAAGAACAATTAGTTTATTGCCAAGGCCAAGGACCACTGAATCCAGAGCACCATGTTACCTTCATACTTAGTGAACTGGAGTCTGGTAATTTTTAGTAAATTATTTTATTTAAAAAATTAGCTTTTTTTACATACACTTATATTTGTGGTATAATTAAACATCACAAAAGAGATCACTAGAGAATTTGAATTTCCTATAAATAATGAAATAAGACATAAATTTGCAGAGAATCGGGCTTTTTGATGTTTGATTGCTAGCTGATAAACATGTCATAATGGCAAGCTTATTTAGTTGGTGAGACACGACTGAAATAGTTGGCACTGAATATTTCTATGGATTTTACATCATAAGGAAAAAAGAGGCTGAGTGTGACCCAATGGCTATCATACAAAAGTATGGACCTATTACCACAAAACAAAAAGTGCTGTGCACTCTGTTGCCATGGGTATGTTATAATGGTCATGGTCGAACCCCACTATTGAGTCAAACAAGAGTGAGTACTTTTCTTCTAGTTTATCAGTTAAAAATAATGAATGACTAGAACAGATAACCCTTGTGTAACTTTGTACAAATACCTGAAAAAAAAATGCAAATGCACTGAAAAGATTGTGTGATTGGTTCATTTTCAAATATCGTAGGCATTAAGTTGAACAAAAAAAGCAGTGCATGTGTTTTTATGTCTAAAATGTATAACTTTCACAAAATTGAAAAGTGAGTCAAAAGTTTTCAAACAAGGCAAAGATGACCCTTTCCTGTACTACTTACTTGGTTGCTATCCTGGCTCCTAAAGATCATAGATTTTTGAAAACCCTTGGCCAACAGTATGAAAATTAATATTAAAAAAAGAAAAGAAAAATTTTAACTTTTTTATATATAAAAACAAACTCATTGACATATTTTGTTTAGTTCCCTGAAGCAGGTTCTTTCACTGTTCCAAAAAGTTTTTTTTTTAATAATTTTTCCCATTGTAAATACTTATACATATGATATCCATTGAAACTTGCTGTTATAGTGGATACTATGAGAGTAACATTTCCAAATAATTGTGTATATGATGAGTGCGATTAACCAAGGTACATCAAGTATGCCAATTATTTATCTATTGTTATTGTTAAACTTTTTAAACTGAATTTTTTAGCTTTTGCTGTTTTCATTTCTGGTATGATTATAAAAACTTGTTGCTTTAGCTTTCAGTATAATTGAAGACTTGTTACTAAGTGTGGATATGATAATGGTGTGGTTTAACAATCAGTATGATGATAAAAGCAAGATTTTAATGTTAAAGAAAATGGGTAGTTGATTAAGGAAAAACTCTTGTTTTACAGTTATTTGTAATTATTTGAATTGTACATTTTTTAAGTACTAATCCATGTTTTTGGTAGGATTACGTGATTTTAGATGAAGGGCACAAGATCAAGAACCCTACAAAAACTACCAAAGCAGCTCATGACATCCCGTCCAAGAACAGGCTGGTTCTTACTGGCACTCCCATTCAAAATAACCTGAGGGTGAGAAACTTTTTTTTTTTTTACCATGTAAGCTGTTGTGGCCATTTTCTGTGATCAGAACTGTGTATTATAAGAAATAACATTCTTCTGAGACATATTTTGGTATTCAAACTTGTAAATCTTATTTGAACTCATTCAACAATCAAAAGTGATCCCTTTTTTTTTTTTGGAGTACTGAAGTCAATACACTAGAAGGATTTAATTTGAAAAGCAAGTAGAGCAGGATAACAATTATAGTCACTAAGGGAAAGAGACTGTTGTCAACATTTTGGTTAAAAGATCTGAGAAAGTTGTTTGGGCAAATGGTTGATCACATTTTTGTTCTCTTACAGTAATTTTCACCTATTCTTTGTATTAAAAAAAGGTATAAGGTTGATGTTTTACTTTATACGTACTTTTTGTAATAGTAACTTTTGAGTAAAGTACCAATGTGTTTAACATATAGTTTACTATTATTATTATTAGTAATTATTGTAAAAGTATGTTGCTGAAAAAATTATTTCTTAAATTATTTTTCGTATAAGGTGATTTCTAGTTTTAAATATTTTCATATTGTGGATTATGGGAGGTCTTTCTTCTAAATGTATTAATGTATTGTTGTTGACTAATTTTCTGGTAGCAGATCATTTTTCATTGGTTGAATGGCAAATGTCTTTTCTTTTTCTTTTAACTATATCAGAAACTATTAGTATCAATCAGTGGTCAGAACTATATACTGTTTCTCTGTGCTGGTGTCAGGTGAAAATGGTTTGGGAGGTAACTCAAAAATCTGGAGTGGCAAATACAGAAACAAACACTTTTCTGAGTCCCTGAAAAAAATAATTTGGAAGATTATGTGCAATTTAATGCATTTTGGTGATGTCAGAATATTATTTTGTGGCCTTTAATTTGCCATTTTGGTGGAGATGAATTATTAAAATCATGAACTCTTGTAATATATAAAGATGGATATTTTATATGGACACGCATAACTTGTAGGCACACTTTGGCCGTAGTTTGGGCAAGAAATTGCTGTATTTTGTTTCATATTGCTGTTAAGTATGGATTCATTATTATATTCACAATTAATTAAACAACCTAGTCTATTTAAATATATTTCATTTAGTCTGTTCAGGTTTTAAAAATACATGGGTCTACTTACTAATTTACTAGTCAAATAACTCAATTCTTTATGCTTAGTTGAATAGTTTAAGACATTGTTCACATTAGGTCTAGCAGCAACTTCTCATTTATCAAATATCTATAATGTATGCTTATTAATCCCAGTCAAATCACAATTCGAGTTTAATTGGAAGATACATTTATTATTTTTTGGAAAAATGAACATAGTTAATAAAGACTTATGGAAGCATGCACCTGATGAAAACTGGCCCAGGGCTAAGTGCTGAATTTCTTTTTTATGTATATTTTCTATTTATTTTACGTTTTTAACAAAAGTAAAAATTAAAATCCGACTAGATATACCAGAAGAATTAAAGAAAATGTAATAAAACATTTTTCATGACCACTTCTTGAGGAACATACATTGTTGGGTGTTGTATGATATAACCCCGAAACTTTGTTTACCCTAAACTCTGTGTACTCCTGCTGGGTGATATATTGCTTGTCATGTTTGATATGGTTGAAGGAGCGATAAAACAATAGAATTTAATAAAAGCAGTTGTTTAAGATAATTCTAATTTTCAGTTACAATCTGCAATCATTTAAAAAAAAAAGGCCTTTTTGGTTTTGTTTGTCAACTTTTGCTACAAGATGACTTCACTACAGTTAGTGTTAGGGTAGAGAAAATAAGAGATAAAGCAAACGTTTCATGAAGAAAATTTTGGGGATCATGTAGGAGGTTCTGGAGGTTATGCAAATAAAATGTGAAAACTGAGATGAAAGGAATGAATTTTTATTCTTAGCATGAAAATCACATTTCACTCATACTGGCTCAGTAGAAGCTTTATAAATTTGCAGACAAATGTTTTGTAAAAATACTTTATTAAAAATATTTTATGTGCATAACAGACTGGTAATGTTTACTAAAGATTTTGGGAAGATACTCGTAGTACATTCAGTTATAGTATCTATAGTTTAATGGTTACATAGTTAAATTCTGTAGAATAAAATTTATACACAGTACTCAAATGTATATGCTCCAAAAGTTAAAAACAAGATATTCTGTGATTATTTTTTGTTGTACAAATATTTAAATTATTGCTTACTTTTGAGCCACAGTTTTCATGTATAATGACTGCTAGTTATTTCTTGAAAGTATAACACCTGCATTGAGGCATTACACATTGCCCTTATAGGCTGTTATTGTAACCAAATGTAATACTGATATTGGATTTTTGATGTGATATGTACTTCCAGAGCAGAAGTATGAGCTTCATGCAATTTTCATTAAATTTAAGCAGTATAACAAACATTCATGTCTCACGTCTTCTGCTCCCCCCTTATTGGAATCAAATGATTCCAACATGTCTCTCATGCAAATCATCATGCGTCACATTTCCACCAATAGGAGCTTGATGTACATGATGCATGTGACTTCCTTTATACACCTCTACCAAACTATCACTTCTTGTTTGGCAGTGCTTGTGCTTGGACGTGTTCCTTTGTTTGTTTCAAGTTAAACTTTAGTATACTCATGAAGTGGTTTTCATTTAATTACTTCCAAGTTTATTAAGTTCCTTCACTTTAATTTAATTCCAGTTTATTACAGTTGCTTTATTATTAATCATTTTGATTTTGGTTGACTCACCTTCACTCTGTCACAGGCCTCGGGTGCGGGCGACTCAGCAGGAGATTTATCCATGTTTAATTGCAGGGAGATTGAACGTTACATAGGTCAATCTCTATTTCCAGACCTCGCCCCACCTCCTGAATATGCTAAGCCTATTCAAGTTGACGAGGACTTGGATCGCCTATTTTCACCTCCTGATTTTGCCATGCCTTCAGTTAAGCCTACTATGGTCTTTTTGGATTTTTTCTCAGGTATAAACTTGACCATTTCAGACTGTACCACCACTGGACTGCATGAGTAAATCAGAAGGTGATAGCTGGTTATCTTTGCCATGCCTTGTATTGAATAAATCGGTATGGTCTGCTTTTCAAAATATGGTTTCGTAGTCACCCATTGCACTGTCTCAGGTAATGACGTTCCTTCATTCAGTGCAGAGTAGGGCAGTGGTGTTCTGTGAGTTTAGATGATGTGATATCCTCCACTATTAGTTATACAATCACTAAGGAGTGAAATGTCAAATTGCAGTTCACCCCTTCAATTGGGAGTCCTCATCCTACCCCTGCATGGATGTCAGTACCCCTTGGCTGGGTTTTGGATGTAGTGTAGAACCAATCAATATAAGTCCTCACACATGTTTATGGTTATCTAAATTTCTCCCTCTATTATCCTCCTGTGTTATGAGTCACAGTGGAAATAAGGGAAATTGTTCCAGTTTTGTTGTTTTTGCTATCCTTCGTGTATCTTATTCCGAGGATGTTATTGCTTTTTGGATGGTTCTGGTCGATTTTGCTGTTGGGGGAGTTGATTTATATTTAATAGACATACTTTCGATGCTGGATATCTGGTTCCTGGATTGATATATCAAAGCTAACACATGTCATGTTCTGGAGTTGCAGTGGTTCTAGATTCCCTCTGGTTCTCTTAAACTTGAGGTGAAGGTGATATGATCTTCATCCTACTCCCGAATGAATGTCAGTTCCCAGCGGCATGAGTTTTGGATGTAGCTGACTTACCAAGTACGGTCTATCAGACCCTATCCACTCTACACCTAAGGGCACATCCATTGATTTATCCACTTTCATACTTTGTGGGATTAAGTTACATATATATTTCAGGGTTAGGATCACTATCTTGCCTCTGTTCTCTCCCATTTAGATGTGCTTCTCTCTTTTTCCACCCTTATCTACTACACACTTCATGGATGGGCAAAGAGTATACCTGGTCAGAAGTGGTGTTGTTCCCCCCATCAGATCTTTGGATCCGACTCTCTTATTTCCAAGGGTATCCTTTGGACACTTTCAGGAAGGTACTTCTGTCATTCCTTTACACCAGTCCCTCCACCTAATCAATGTGGGATTCTAGCTAATCTTGTGAGTGGAGGATGTGTGTTTTGTTATAGCAAAGCCACATCGGGCTATCTGCTGTGTCCACCAAGGAATCGAACCACTAATTTTAGAGTTGTAAATCTGAAGACTTACCACTGTACCCCCCAGGGGACCTGTGAGTGGAGGGAAATACCATATCAGAAGTTATCATTTTCCTATACTGAAAATATATTTCCAATAGGTACTTCCCTTTGCTCATACTTCCTCCCCACTTTTCTCCCGTGCTTATGCCTTCTGCATAGTTTGGTATGGGCATATAGAGGTAGTCACATGCATCACTTGAGTATGTCATGCTTCTATTGGTGGAGAAGTGACGCATGATGCTTTGCATGAGAGGCATATTGAAATCATTTAATTCCAATTGACAAGGAGGGGAGCTGAAGGCTTGTGGCATGTGTAAAGTTTGCATATAGAGGGCAGCACTGGACAAGAATAGCTTATCTTGTGAGGAGAGGGAAGTACCTATCAGAAATACATTTTCAGTATAGGAAAATTATAACTTTCCTATGAATAAACAGCAATAAATTAGAATGATTAAACTGTTGAGCTGGGTGATTAGTGGTATTTGCTAATCAATTAATTGCCAGCCTCATTAATCAATTAAATTGAATTAATACAGTGTTCTTTAAATCATTGTACTACAAGAAAAAGTAAAATTGGTGGTGGATGTCTCCAGATTGTTGCTTTCCTTCTAGTCAGCAATTCAAAATTAGTAACAAATGAAGAAAGCCTTAGTAGCTTTGACATAACAAAGAGAAGATGAGCAAGTTTGGTGACAATAGAAATTGTACCTAAAACCTTCAAATCACCAACACATTGCAAACTTGAAGTAAAAACAAGCAAACGAATTTAAGGCTAAAATTGAGCAGAACACAGCTCATTATGTAGCTTTTGATTGCGTGGATAGTTGGAATAATAAAAAATGGCAATAATCAGAAACACTGATTTTGATAATTTGATTATTTTCATGACAGTAGATTTAATCATAATTTCAATAAATTGATTAGTTACCTTGACTGATTGATGAACTCATTGCTCGTAAGTAAATGATTGAATTGCTCAGCTCTATTAAACTGTCCTGTATGACTACTGTGTTCTTCCACCTGGTAGTCATTAGTAATTTAATCCTGCCTTGTTTAATTATGTGGGAGAGAAATGGTTAACTACTTATTAGTTAGATGGATAACTGTGTGGAACCTGGTATGTTATCTATGCTTTTATGTTAATAACTTGAAATATTAACCTTTCAGTCATTCAAATAAAATAAACTTTGACTTAAAGAAAAAATAATTTTAATCAAAATTGTAACACTCATATGATTTTATATTAGTTGTAAGCAGTATCACTAAATATGTGTTTCTTTTGGTCTATATTTTATGTGTGTGTGTGTGTGTGTGTAAAATGTGTTCAAAATGCTACTTGTACAGTACTTACTCATCAGATCTTCACCCAATGTGAATCATATCAGCATCGCATTATCTAAATAACAGTGCTGGCTCAGTGGTGAGTTTAAATTCCAGATAACAGTAGTTTTATTTAGATGTGGTGTTACATGCCAAAACTTTGTGGGCATTGAAAGTTGTTCAGTTAAATGTTTGCATCACTTGATGCAACTTGTGATGTTTTGTGATTCAAATATTGGAGGACTTTCCCATGGATCATAGTAAAGCTTCACATATCATCTATGCTTAGAATCCACACTACAAGAAAAGGCTATTGTAAGATAAAAATCAAAGCAAAAGATTTTTATACTTTATCTGAACAATAAACCAACTTTATGTGCATCACCAATAATGCACTCAAGAATGTGTATTCACTCATTATGATATAGAATTTTTTAATTATGCATATAAATCAGATAAACTGCTTAATGGTATCACCTCACCAATTACTAGTAACAGTATAAAGCTAGATTATTATGTTGTCTACATCAGTGTTCCTCAAATTGGTACACATATACCCTTTGGATGTACAGGGTGGTCATCGAAGGGGATATGTAAAATAAAAAGGGAAAATAAAACCAAACAAAGCAAGAAAAGGGAGAGGGTAAGCAATTTCCTTATTACCATTCAAAAATTAAGTAACTAAAGTAAAATATACAGCCAGAATCTGCTGGTGGGAGTAATACTGAATAATGCTATTTTTAAAAGTTCTTTGTTTTTCAATTCAAGAAAAGGTTTTCTTTTATCATTGGGTAATTAAGTAAAATTTTTTATGTTTTTATGAATCTGAATTTTGTGAATTATAGCTATCAATAGCAGTAATAGTAACAACTCCAGTAAAAAAAATATTTTATATCTGAAGATATACAATTTTTGTATTCATTTTCAGTATCAGAATCATAGAAGTTTTTGAATTTGTACTAAATTTGAAAAGAAATACATCAGCTTCAAAAGTTTGAGAACTATTGCTGTACATGTTAACACATCATTTCACAGAAAATTGAATCGGCTCTAATACTATAGTTAGTTGGAACACACAATCTCAAGTCAGCTCACAAAAGTGTGTAAGCCAGACTTTCAGTATTGCTATAGGTATGTTTCAGTTGTTCAAGTTATCTAATTGTTGAAAAGATATAGAAGTAAATCAGTTTTCTCCAACCTACACACTCATTGGTTTCTACATGTTCAGTGTAATTTCTATATTTGGTTCCAATATGTGACTTGATCAGTACTCCTTGACTATATGGCTAAAGGTGTAAAAATGTAGATTTTAAAAATGCCTAATACAGAAGAATTGCCCAATGCCTGAGAGGTTTAGACTTTTAATGAAAACTCAACTTTCTTGTATTCATTTGTATCAGTTTTGAAAGCAAAAGGATTTATGATACACATTGTTTTCAGAGTAGTTGTTGTTGGAAAATTTCTTAAGGCAAAAGTAGTTGCTGCTGCTGGGGGGGATTTTTTTTCAGTAGATATATATATAAATAAGAATTCAGATATATTACTTATTTAGGAAATTTGTCTCTGTAGTATGAAAGAAATTTCCATTGGAGAGTTATGTTTCTCCATATGCAAATCCATTGGCATTTCATATGATATGCATCCCCTCTAGTGACAAGCTGTGGAGCAGATTGGACTCAATGTGTGATATGCAGGCATATGTTTTCTACCAGCTTTAGTGATAAAAAAATTTTCAGTTATATAGTTTCTGTGCTGGAATGATGGTAACACGTTGTACAGAAAGTCATTAAGATTACCTTGTTCTAGTATCTTTGTTCACTGTAGTCGGTGATGTCTATTCTGTCCAAGAGAATGTTGCATCTGATTTAAAAGTATAAACACTGTAATATTCTTTGCTGAGCAAATATAATATTGTCTAAACAACTGACTGAGAGAGAACAAAGATAATGAGGTGACATTATTCACTGGACAAAGAAAGCAAGTTTACCTGTTGAATTCCAGTGTGCTTTCTTAATTCATTTCTAATATGAGATTAGAGTTAAGACTGGCTTCTTAGCTTGTGTTTAGTTTGAATGAAGTCTATCCTTAGAGAGAGAGAACTTTGAAACTAAGCACAACCTAGTAGAAGTAACACTTTTTGTGTACACAAGTATGTAAACTGCATTTTCTTTTTGTTTGTTCAAATTATTTTACGCAATAAGAAGACTTGATTAAGTTATTTGATAAGAATCACTCTCCTTATTCCCAGAATGAATCTGTAACTTTTTGTAGATCCATCTATCTGATACTTGTTCAGAAACTAGCCGTTTTTACCTGAAAATACCACAACTATTCCCTGGATAATAATGCAAAAGAGTAGTTTGCAGAGAAAACTGAAGTAAATGTCAACCATTATTAGAACAGCATTGAGGTGGAGGAAATATCTGTTAACCTGGCTATTGCCAAAGCTTTCTTGATTTTTGTCTTGCAATTTAATGTTTATTGAAGAAGGATTTAATGTAAATAAAGAATGTGGTTAAAAAAAAGACCTCTGACTGAAAAATGTTTATAGTTCTTCAGATTGTAAGGGAAACTTTGAAGCTTATAGTAACAAACCAAAAAATGTTCACATGATAAAAAGAGTGCTCAAATATGTTCATCTAGCTTATGTCCAGTATTTGTTCTCAGTGAATCAATGTTGTGATATACAGACACCATCTACTTCAAATTGCACCCTCAGTCAGGCAGATGCCAGTAAGATATCTTTGAAGACGGACAAAATAAAACAAAAAAAATATCTGGTTAATCAAGCCAATTCAGTAAACTTAAAAATTTCTTAGAAAAGAAATAGGTCTCTACATATATTCACTCTTCCTGAAACTGTTGTAGTGGCTCTTCTGTACCCTAAAGTCTGTTTTCAAAGAAATGTAGGTATAAGCCAAACAGAAAAGTGGCCTAATGGTTTATTGTGTTTCAACTGTGAATGTGAGGGTTTGTAATGTTGCTGCAGAATCATGCTCTTCAGTTTGGGGCTAATGGTGGTGTTATGAGAGTGACTATTAAGTCTCATTACTCAATCAGACAAGAGTTGATCATAGGTGTTGTTGACTAGTTGCCTTCCATCTGGTCTGTCAGTTCAAAATTAGGGATAGTTATCTGCAAATATCCCTTCTGTAGCCTTATATGAAGATTCTGCAAGAACTGAGTGGCTATGGGTTTAAAAAAACTGTACATAAATGAATATAAAAAATATATTATTTAAGTTGAACTAGTTTTATAAATCTGTATTACATTTGGTAAATCTATATTTTTAGAATGATATTTGGAATGTGTGCTTGTATAAATCTAATATCTTTTTAAATTGTAAATCAAACACTATATAAACTGATTTTATGCATTATGTGAACAAAATATAGTGGGTAAGAAAGGATAACAAAAAAAAACTTGTTTTATTTTCAGGAGTTGTGGTTCTTGTTTGACTATGTTCACCAGGGGGCTCTTTTGGGTTCCCACCAAACATTTAAGATGCAATACGAAACTCCAATAACTCGGGTAAGTCAGCTTATAATTAATTTCTAGTAATTAGTTAATTTGATTCTATTTATATTTGTATTTTTTTATTATTTTGTTTTAGTAGAGAGTCAGTTTTAACTTATGGTGCTTCAGATATGTTTTCTTTTTGAAAATGTGTATTTTTTAGCTTCTGATAATAAGTTAGATTTTGTTTTGGTTACAAGTGTGAATTGTGTTGTTTGAAGTATTTTGGATTACATCTGCATTTAATTCTAATCTTTGTACTTGAAGAATATTCCTTTGAATTCTAAGGTATACTTAAGTTTTATTAAACATCTTGTAATGGTTTATTACCATGAAAACAGGCTCGTGAAAAGGATGCTACTGCAGGTGAGCGAAGACTGGGAAGTGAAATAGCTGAAAACCTTCGTTGTCTAATAGCACCTTATTTTCTTCGAAGAACTAAGGCTGAAGTTCTTAGTGAAAAACAATCGGAAGACACAGAAAACATTGACCCAAACCTATTGAATTCTGGTACATTGAAGCAAAGTAGTGGAATGTAAGAATTTTCACTCTGTGGTTTTTCTGATCCATTGAAGTGTGAAAGTAAAATTAAAGAAATTAGAGTTTTTGGGTCCTTTAATGGTTGGGAGTAAAAATTGAGAATCTCTATCTGTTGAGTTCTTTGAAGTTTGATGGTAAAAACTAGCAATTTATAATTGGAAAGTAAAAAGCAGGGAATAGTTTAATGTATGAAATTTCTTAAAGACTTGGAAATATTTATATGAATCTTAATTGCAGGTTTAGCAGCTAGAAATCTGTGAAAGGTACAAAAATGTGTGTGTAAAGGGTGAAATTTATACATATGGAATTTACACTTATATTTTTTAATAGTAATGACACTATTTTTTTTAACAGGCTGTCTCCACTACAACGAAAGAATGACTTTATCACATGGGTGTTCTTGAGTGATTTGCAGATAAAACTGTATCGAGATTTCCTGGAGCTGGACAGAGTGAAAAATGTAAGTACACCTTCCAGATGTAATTATGTATAAACCAGGCTAAAGAACATAGTTATTATTACCCATTGATAAATTAATTTATAAAGTTAATATTTTATGGCTCTTGAAGACTTGTGCTTGATGTTTTTAGTTTGGCTGTTGTAATCATTGCACATAATAGTCTGTCATTTGAATATTTATTTTTATAGTTTAAAAATTATTTATGAATTTAAGATTTTAAAAGATAAAAAATAGTAATAGCTGAATGTCACAATTAACTTCATATTAACCTAAAAGCAACATTTCACTAAAGTTTAAGCTATCCTTTAATTTGCAGTTTCTGTATAAGCTCTTCAGTTTTCTGCTTATATCAAATCAAACAGGAAGTAAGCTCTATCTCGGTATTTAGTGTTTGTGCTAAATCTTGGAGTTTTTAAGTCCTTTAAGTTTTCAACCACTTGAACAAAAATTGCATAGATTTGGGGTAAGGTATTGTTCCTAAGGATAGTTCTTCTTTATCCAGACACATTTGGCTGCTGTTGTGAATACATAATTGTTAATGTTACAGTTTCTGGAAAGTAGAGAAGTTGATATTCAAGTGAGTAATTATGAAATGATGTCAAAAGTAACGTTGTTTTATTAAGTAGAAAGACTGACTCTGCAAGAGACTTGTAGAGGAGTTGAAAAGGGGGAGGGAAGTTAGGAGAAAAAGATTCTTTTGATACACTATTGCAAAGAGACTTTTCAAATCTCAGTATGATTGAAATTACTTTTGGCTTCTTTTAGCTAGAGTGATTTTTACAAGCAGAATGGGATGAACTTTACTTGGTGAATGTAAGCTATATGTATATCTTTTTAGAGAAATGGATTCTTCTGGGAAAAATAGCTTAAGAGTAGCCACTTGTATTTTTTTACGCGCAAAATAAGAATTTTTAATTTTGTATACTTTTTAAATTGTTAACTGTACTAACATTTGAACATATTCTACATTGCATTGTTCTGCCTGTGATGTTTTCCCTCCCATGAAACCCTTCTGGTTAGTTAGTGAGTGATTTTGAAGATAGACTGTACTGCATCCAAATGTAATTGTCACATAGTTAATTTTATAAAATGGGACTAAACATTTCTGCCCACAATACTACAGCAAACAGTATGAATGAATGTTGTGTTGAATCGAAGCAAAATGCAGAAAAGATATCTGTTTTATTGATGAATAGAATTAAAAGAGCAACATGATGGTAATTTTAGTAAACGTCAATGGGATGCATAACATAGCAATTTTCTCTATTTGAAATTAACATAGACATTGCTATTTGTCCTTTCTTTCTACTCCATATTTAAGCTGGATTATTTGGTATATTTCAAGTAAAACTGGGAATTACTTTTTGTTTATGTTTTTATCTACCCTGAAGCTTCAATTTCATTGCAACTAAAACAAAGTGATTTTCTGTGTTAGTCATTTAACTACTTGTGTATTTTGAAACCAAGTGGGACATAAATTCCTTAGTCATCCACTTCCTTGTGATGTGTTATTGAACATTAGTGAAAGCTTGACAGGGTAGCATCATAGACTATATGCTTTGTGTTATGAGTGGTTCTAGCTATAATTTAAAAAATACATTTGTGTATTTTGAATTCTAGTTTATTCTGAATCAAAATGTTAGTATATGATATTTAAGAAATGCAGAAAATTGTGTTTTGGAAAAACTTTTTCAGTATGGGTCATTTCACAGAAAGTTTTGGATTCTGTTGGTTACCAGTGTTCGAGTCAAGTATGCATTAAAATAATTGTATGCCTACTAATTGAGTAATTCTATACGTATTCATACATTACAAATTGGTAAAGTATATACATTTCTTGTATGTTTTACTTTATAAATATGTAAGGATTGCACAACCTTTATGCAGTTATAAATATACTTTCAGCTACTGATGACTAAAAAATCTCCATTAGTGGAGTTGACAGTTTTGAAAAAGATTTGTGACCACCCTCGTCTTCTATCTCATAGAGCTTGTTTACAACTTGGCTTGAATGGAGATATTAGGTAAAAACTGTTTGCTATTAAGATTATATTTTTAGTGCTTTAACTCTTTCACAAAGGGCTCGGTCCCTGGGACTGACCTCTTAACCATTTTGTGCTTGTTATAGTTTTCAT